ACGGGGATTCGAACCCGCGACCCGCAGATTGCGAGTCGAGCGCCCTAACCACCTGGCCATGCCGGGTCTACTATAACAGTAACAGAGAAAAGTTAACTTCACAAAATAGAATATGTAAAAAATAATATATACGCAAAGATATTACAGACCAGGAAACATTGGAAATATTATACTAATTATGGTGAAAGAATGCGAAACTATAAAATGGAAAGATATAAAACTTACCAATGTGGCATAGGGAAAGGAAAAATACGTGAAAATGAAAAATCGAACGTAAGAAAAGAGAAAAGCGTTTATTGATTCCACGAGACTGATATCGCTCAGTTCAAATGTGGTTATTTTTAGAATTTTTCATTTAGGTTTAATGTTACGCTATTCGTACTTGTGATTTGAATTTCGCGCAAAGCTACACGAGGGCTATCTGCGCTAGCCGTCCCTAATTTAGCAGCGTGAGACTAGAGGGAAGACAGCTAGTCATCACCACCCACCGCCAACTCTTGGGCTACTCTTTTACCAGCGAATAATGGGATTGACCGCCACATTATATACAAGATGTACTTCCGCAGAGTCTCCGAAAGAGTTCTGTTTCAAGTGTAATTATAATCAAAATTAAGAGTAACATGTATTTATATTTCTTGCTTTTGAAGTTCGTATGTCATACTATGTTGTAGCCTACAGAGTGCGTAATTATTCTCGTGATTCATGGCATGCGCACGTCTTACTTATGTCACGACAGTACAAATTACAACGTTAAGCGTCTCTTATGTAACGCCATTTTAGTGTCTACTGACTAACTAACAGACAACACACTTTTGCATATTGGTGTTAGTAGTTGAAATAGGTGACCCCTACAGGCGGCCTTTGACCCCCTTTTGTGAAAACTACTCGTTAAAGTAGAGCAAACTAGAGATTATGTAGTAGTCGTTAAGGTAGTGCAAACTAGATATGCTATACTAGTCGTTCAGGCAGTGGAAGCTAGATATGCTATACTAGTCGTTCAGGCAGTGGAAGCTAGATATGCTATACTAGTCGTTAAAGTAGTGCAATCTAGAGATTATATACTAGTCGTTCAGGCAGTGGAAGCTAGATATGCTATAGTAGTCGTTCAGGCAGTGGAAGCTAGATATGCTACACTAGTCGTTCAGGCAGTGGAAGC